GGTCCTTCTGGGCATCAGGCCTTCTTCACCGGTCAGCAAACCGGTCCGGTCGCTCCATCAACCTACTATGCTCCTGGTCCAGTTGGCTATGATGGGCCACCTGCTAGCAATGGCGTGACCGGCTACTCGGGCTACCCTGCGCCAGCCTCTTATGATCCAGCCTTGCTTGCTGCACTTCATCAACAGCCTCCGACCGGGGCTTATTCCGGCAGTGGTGATTGGTTCATGGACACCGGTGCATCTTCGCACATGGCCGCTTACCCGGGTAACCTCTCCTCCGTGTCTCCTATTCACACTTCTTCTCGTATCATTGTTGGTAATGGTGCTGGTCTTCCTATCACTCATATTGGTTCCACAAGTTTTCCCTCAAACTCTCGACCACTTTATCTCAATAATGTTCTTGTATCTCCCGAGCTTATTCAGAATCTAGTTTGTGTTCGTAAACTTTCTCGTGATAACTCTGTAACTGTGGAATTTGACGAAGTTGGTTTTTCTGTTAAGGACGCCCTCACCCGGATGGTTCTTCACTGCTGTGACAGTCCCGGCGATACATACTCCGTCCAGCCTCCATCATCTTCACCTGCTGGACCAGTTGCACTTTCCGCCGGCGTTGATCTCTGGCACGCCCGTCTCGGTCATCCTAGCTCCACCGCTCTTCGTCATATTATTAGGGATTTTTCTTTTACATGTAATAAAACGGATGCGCACTCTTGTCACGCATGTCGTATGGGCAAACATGTTCGCCTTCCCTTTAGTACTTCATCCACAGTTGCGTCGTTACCTTTCGAGTTAATCCATAGTGATGTTTGGACCTCTCCTGTTGCTAGTAATACTGGTTTTTCATATTATCTTGTTATCTTGGATGACTTTTCTCACTTTGTGTGGACCTTTCCATTACGTAAGAAGTCCGACGTTGTTGCCACTCTTACGGCCTTCTACTCTTACGTAGCCACACAATTCGGTCATCCTATTCTAGCTTTGCAAACTGACAACGGGAAAGAATTCGACAACACTACCATCCGCAATCTTCTCTCCACACATGGCACTGTTTTTCGTCTTACCTGTCCATACACTTCACAGCAGAACAGTCAGGCAGAACGCATTCTTCGCACTCTTAACGATTGCGTCCGCACCCTCCTCTTCCACGCCTATATGCCACCCCGCTTCTGGCCTGACGCTCTCGCTACCGCCACCCTCCTCATTAACCTTTCGTCCATGTCGCACCCGGTGGAACTTTACACCTCACCACCTTCTCTTCGGGTCTCCTCCTTCATACGACGGTCTTCGTATATTTGGTTGTCTCTGTTACCCTAGTATTGTCGCCACCACTCCTCATAAACTTGCTCCTCGTTCCCTTCCGTGTGTCTTCCTCGGTTACCCGGGTAACACTAAGGGCTATAGATGCTATGACCCGGTTTCCCACCGTGTCATCACATCCCGGCATGTTTATTTCAACGAGTTGTCTTTTCCTTTTAAACAGGAGGCTTCTTCATCGGCGCCCGGTCCCTCTTTGGCCGACCCTGTCCGCCCTGGTTTTACCAACCGGCATAGGGCGCCCCCTGGACGCGCGGCGCTCCAGCTCCTGCCCGCTGCTTCACCAGCCTCCCCGGCCTCCGAGCCGGCCTCCGTACCGGCCTCTTCGACTGCTTCGTCGCCAAGCCCCGTGCCGGCCTCTCCGGCTGCTTCATCGCCGGGCCTCGTGCCGGCTTCTGAGCCGGTCTCCCCGGCCTCGCCGGCTTCACCGGCCACTGGGTCGGCTCGCTCACCGGACTCGCCATCTTCTGCCCCGGCCTCTTCACAACCAGGCTCGGCGCCATCACTGGTAGCGGCTGCTGTGCCACCACCCGCTGGCCCTACCACGCGGTCGCGGCTGGGCGTCCATCGGCCAAGCACTCGCTGCCCTCCGGACGTGTACACCTACGTGGCTTCGACTTCTTCCTCGTTGCCATCACCCTTGCCGACCTCCGCCCGTTCCGCGCTTTGCGGCCCCATGTGGTTCGCCGCGATGAAGGAGGAGTTTGATGCATTGCAATGCAATCACACTTGGCAGCTCGTCCCTCGTCCTCCTCATGCCAACGTCATTACCGGGAAGTGGGTGTTCAAGCACAAGTTTCATCCGGATGGTACTCTCGACCGACACAAGGCTCGTTGGGTCGTACGGGGTTTTCGTCAACGAGCAGGTGTTGACTTCACCGACACTTTCGCCCCGGTTGTCAAACCCGGCACGATTCGGACTGTTCTTCAGCTAGCGGTTTCTCCCTCATGGCCTGTGCACCAGATGGATGTTTTGAATGCTTTTCTCCATGGTCACCTTGAGGAACAGGTGTTCTGTCAGCAGCCGACTGGATTTGTTGATGAGTCTTCTCCGGATCATGTGTGTTTGCTCTCTCGGTCTTTGTACAGACTCAAGCAAGCTCCTCGCGCCTGGTACCAGCGCATCGCACCATTCCTTACTCAACTTGGCTTCCGCTCCACTCGCTCCGATGCTTCACTGTTTGTCTACCACCAGGGTGATGCTACTGCCTACCTACTGCTCTATGTTGACGACATCATCTTGACAGCATGCTCGCCTGCTCTTCTTTGACAGCTCACTGATCGTCTTCGTGCTGAGTTTGCCATTAAGGATTTAGGTCCTCTGCACTATTTCCTCGGGATCGAGGTTATTCGTCGAGCAGATGGCTTCTTTCTTCATCAGCGGAAGTATGCTCATGAGCTTCTGGACCGTGCCGGGATGCTTAACTGCAAACTGGCTGCCACACCTGTTGATACGAAGGCCAAGCTCTCCGCCATAGATGGTTCTCCTGCTTCAGATGCTCCGTTCTACAGGTCGATCGTTGGTGCTCTTCAGTACCTCACTCTTACTCGTCCGGAGCTCCAGTACGCTGTGCAGCAGGTTTGCCTCCATATGCATGCTCCACGTGATGCTCACTGGACCGCGGTCAAGCGCATTCTGCGCTATATCCGTGGCACCTTGGATCTTGGGTTGTCACTTCAGGCTTCATCATCTCTGGACATGACGGCTTATTCTGACGCCGATTGGGCCGGCTGCCCTGACACGCGCCGCTCGACCTTTGGTTATTGCGTCTACCTTGGACCATCGCTCATCTCCTGGTCGTCCAAGCGGCAGCCCGTTGTCTCCCGCTCCAGTGCTGAAGCAGAGTACCGCGCCGTTGCCAACGTCGTCGCCGATTGTTCCTGGCTTCGTCAGCTGTTGCATGAGCTCTTGTCTCCGGTTGACAAGGCTACGATTGTCTACTGTGACAATGTTTCTGCAGTCTACCTCTCCGCCAACCCGGTTCATCATCGACGCACCAAGCACATTGAGATTGATATCCACTTTGTTCGGGAACAGGTAGCTCTTGGTCATGTACGCGTGCTACATGTCCCTACGTCCCAACAGTTTGCTGACATCATGACCAAGGGCTTGTCTACTGCGTCTTTTGAGGAGTTCCGATCCAGTCTTTGCGTCAACCATGGTGCCGCTTCGACTGCGGGGGGTGTTGAGATGTAGATAACATATGTGTATTTCTTGTACAACAAGCCCTCCTCCTTCCATGTATAGTCGAGGACGTGGCTATCCTTTGTACTTATATAACGTGCATATTGCACCCGATCAATATATCGTGAGTTGCATAATTCTCTACAATGATAATACCAGTACCTGTTGAGTGTTGTCATTCGAGCTCGGAGCTCGGACAGCCGCTCGTTCCGATTACATATAGCGGGTCAGTGATCTCACTGGACGGTTCGCTACTGACTGCCTACTGGCAACATTCACGCCTGCGCTGCGCCTCCGTCCCGTGACTTGCCTGCCTTCCCCTGCCGCCGCGACTGGGACTGGGAGAGCTTCGGGGCGCCATGGCGCAAACCCCACCGATTCCCCGCGTCAGCCTCGGCACCCAAGGACTAGAGGTGATCTTCTTCCCCTTGCCCTCTCGCCACCCTCCATTTATTATGCAGAGTCCTCCCTTCCTCTTCCTCCCGGTCTCACTGAATCGAATCGAATGATCCAACAACCAAGGTGTCCAAGCTGGGGTTCGGGTGCATGGGCCTCACAGGCTCCTACAACTCCCCGGTCGAGGACGACGCGGGCATCGCCGTCATCACGCACGCCTTCCGCCGCGGCGTCACCTTCTTCGACACCTCCGACGTCTACGGGCCCCACGCCAACGAGATCCTCCTCGGCAAGGTTGTTTCTTTTTCTTCTGCGCCCCCTTCCTTTGCCAAAGAGGGAGACTGAGTGTGGAAAGATTGGTCGTCCCAGGCGCTGAAGCAGCTGCCGCGGGAGCAGGTGCAGGTGGCCACCAAGTTTGGGATTCAGCGGGATGCCCAGGGCAAGAGCACCATCTGCGGCCGCCCGGAGTACGTCCGCGCCTGCTGCGAGGCCAGCCTGCACCGCCTCGGCGTCGACCACATCGACCTCTACTACCAGCACCGCATCGACACCACCATCCCCATCGAGGACACGGTCGCTCTCTTCTCACTGCCACCCACCCCTTTCTTCCTGGTCATGAGAATCCCTGTGTTTTTTTTTTTTGAAAGATCCAGCAAATTGCTGGCTTGATTCAGATTTAGCAGGAAGAATCCCTGTGTTTATGTTTGATTGGTGTGATTCCTTGGTCTAATTACTGGGCTCAATTTGCTCTAGATTGGTGAGCTCAAGAAGCTCGTGGGGGAGGGGAAGGTCAAGTACATTGGGTTATCGGAGGCGAGCCCCGACACCATCAGGCGTGCTCACGCTGTGCACCCCATCTCTGCCGTGCAGATGGAGTGGTCTCTGTGGGCTCGCGACATCGAGCCCGAGATCGTGCCTCTCTGCAGGTGAATTTCTGCATCACAGGCTCTAACTCGTGTGCCTCCATGATCGATAGTCCTCATTGACTGACCATGTGTTGTATGGACCATAGAGAACTAGGGATTGGAATTGTTCCCTACAGCCCGATTGCCCGTGGGTTTTTCGGTGGAAGGGGAGTGACACAGCAAGTGTCTGCTGAATCTAGTCTGGTACCGATACAATCAGTTGGTTTCTGCACTAGTCATTTCTTTTTAATTATACTTAGGCCTGAACCCCCTCTCTCTGTGTAATTGGTGTTTTTAGAAAGGCCATCCACGTTTTTCGGCTGAGAACCTGGAGAAGAACAAGCAACTTTATCTGAAAATGGAAGAACTGGCCAAGAAGCACCAGTGCAGCCCTGCTCAGCTAGCTTTATCCTGGGTTCTGCATCAAGGGGATGATGTGGTTCCGATACCAGGTCTAATGCCGTGTCCTTCTCATTTCATTGATGTCACATAGTGTTGAACATGTGCAATGATTTCCTGGAGTTATAAATTCACATAATAGGCGAAAAAACGGAAGATCCTCTTGCTTGCATGTGCATTCTGATAGAAGTGAAATGTGTGGTTTAAGAAATCTTAGTGAAGTATACGAGATACAAAGAGAGATATTCCAACTGCAATCTAGCTGTCTTTGGCAGACAAACATAGAATTTCATGGTAATATGAACACCCTCTTTGAGATCTGATCTTTTGCTCTACAGTTTGTGCCATGGTGTTTGTTGTTGCCGCCAGTCCCTCGCCTCCCTCCTCCTGGCTCTCTCAGACGCCATGGCACAAACCAACGAAGAAGAAGATCAGAGGAAGGAGAAGGACACGGAGACACGGTGGATTTTCCGAACGCCACTTCCTGAGCACGAACTCAGCACAACACCACACACTTACAATGATCACCGCAGCTGCCTTTATACCCGGGCAACGCTGGGCTCCAACCCACTCGCACCTGCCCACTCGCGCGCTCCGATCGGCCCGCTCTGCACGCCCCGCGACGCGCTCCGCGCGCGCGCCCTGCGCCGAGCCCTCAACGATCACGCGCTCCCGCTGCGCTCGGATCACGCACTGACCTAGTCTACACACACACCCGTGCGGTGTTCACCTGCACGGACACGCCCATGCACCACACGCACACCTACACACACTACTCGCCGCGTGCCCGACACGCCCGACCCGGCCAGCTCGCGCCCATACACGCGCTGGTCGTGTCCGGTGCATCGCCGCGGCTTATTAGCCCAACAGTGTTGTCCTAGTTTTGAACTGGCATTAAGCTGAACTGTGAAACGTTTTGATGCCTCGGAACAATGGCCTAATTTATCCACAAAAAGACCTCTTTCGCTGCTTCCAAGTTGCAAACAAGTAGTACATCAATAGTGAAGATCATTTTTCCAGTAGACTAGCATTGTATCACTGACAAATATGCTGTACAATTTCTCAGGGACTACTAAGATTAAGAATCTAGACTCCAACATTGACTCCTTGACGGTGAGGCTCACGGAAGATGACCTCAAAGAGATTAGCAACGAGATACGCGAAGAAGATGTTGCCGGTGGAAGGCAATATACTTCATTTGCGAAATTCACCTGGAATTATGCGGATACGCCAAAGAAGTGAAACTACAAAAGATTGTGGAGACGGTGAAACAAGCATGCCATGCTATGTGCTAGTGTGATGAATGGTGCTCCCTGTATCTTCATCTTGTGAATTATCCCGTGAATAAGAACATGTGCACTGTCTCCACCTGCCGTGTAAATTTATGTTCCTTGTACTCCTCTATGTTCGTGTCACAGAAGACTGAGACTGTGCTAGCTATGTTCGTGTCTCTCTAGTCTTACCGGCTTTCCGTGACAACAATTACACCGTTGGAAAATGTATCTGCTCAAAGAGATATTCAGAAGCATATCAAGCCGTTTCAAATTAAAAAAAAGCAACAACAAGAAAAACACTCCTATCTAAGCTGGGAGCAGATGAACCACGTGTTCTAGCAAGTCATGAATGCAACACGCTCCATAGATCCCCTGCACGCTGCAGCTGAACATGAGATGATCCAGCCGTTGCCATGAAGGGACATTACCGAAAAAGGCTTTCGCCCCGCTTTATAGATAAAGCAAACCGCCAAGAGCACACATACAGAGTCAAGTCCACAAACACGCACACACCCAAGTCTCACGATCAAGTACAAAGGTTCTGCTGAGGGCACAGCTCAACAAGCCCCAAAAAATAAAAAAGACAGAACACGCCGGACGAAGAAGACGTCTAGTCAGGCTCCGGCGGGGGCGGCGGCGACAGGCGAACGGCCATCGATCGGAGGTCGGCGATGAAGGCGGAGATGGCGTCACGGTCCAGGGGGCGGCTAAGCGGCCGCCAAAGCTGCAAGAAACCCGAGAGTTTGAAGAGAGCGTCAGTAGACCGACGAAGAGGAGTACGCTGAATCACGAGCTTATTGCGGACAGTCCAGAGGGTCCAGGCGAGGACCCCAATCTCAAGCCACCTAATGTGGCGAGAAGTCGCGGGGACAACTGGAGTTCGGCAAATAAGTCCGGGAAGTTGGTGTGGCACCAATCTCCACCGACCACTTCGCGAAAACAGCTCCAAAGGAACTGGGCGGAAACGCAAGAGAAGAAAATGTGGTTCAAGTCTTCGGGGACCCCACAGAGCGGGCATAAGCCAGTGCCCGGGCCATTGCGCTTGCGAACCTCCAACCCGGACGGGATCCGACCACGAATCCATTGCCACATGAAGATGCGGATCTTCAGAGGCAGGCGGATGGACCAAACCATCGAAAGAGGGAGTGGGGCGGCAGATGGAGCGATGGCCAGGTAGAGCGACTTGGTGGAGAATTGGCCCGAAGGCTCAAGGCGCCATCGCACTAGGTCAGGACCACCATCCACGAAGGGTTCATGGAGAGCAACACAGTCAAGTAACTCACGCCAGGCGGCGGATTCCATGGGGCCAAAGGCCCGCCGGAAAGCAAGGCGCCCTAAGTCAAGAAGGGCCCTATCAACAGAGATCACGGGGTCAACGGAGATGGAGAAGAGGCCAGGGAAGCGAGACGCGAAGGGGGTGTCTCCGGCCCAACGATCAACCAGAACAGCGTCGAGGTTCCAGATCCCACCGAGATGGAGGTCCCGATACGGAGAACCGGAAGAAGCTGGACGATCGACTGCCAGAACTGAGAACCTCCAGACTTCTGGCAGAAGGCGAGAGTCTATCCGCGCAGGTATTTGTTCCGGATGATGTCAAGCCAAAGACCACCGTGCCCTTGCGAGATTCGCCAAAGCCAGCGGGAGAGGAGGGCAATATTCATGCGTTTAGAGGACATGATGCCAATGCCACCTTGCTCTCGGGGCTTGCAAATGTCAGGCCAACTGACCATATGATACTTCTGCTTCTCCTTGTCGCCCGCCCAGTAAAAGCGGGACTGGATCTTGGCAATCTCCTTGTGAAGGGTCTCATGGAGGCTGTAGAAGCTCATAAGAAACAAGAGGAGGCTGGAGAGGGGAGAATTGATGAGGATAGTCCGGGCCGCTTTGGACAGCCACCTCCCCTGCCAGGGCTCGACGCACGTTTGGAGCTTGGCCACGGAGGGGCGCAAGTCCGCGACGGTAAGCCTGGTGTCACTAATGGGCG